TCCTGGGCGCTCGGACGCGCCGTCCACCGGCGCCCGCGCGAGTGCGCATGGCATCGCACGGCAAGCTGAAGAACATGCATGAAGCATTTTGCTCGGGGCAGTCCATGGGCGCTTGCACTCTTTCCCCTTGCCCGGCGCCTCGCGCCTGCTCACGCGGTTTGCGTGGCCTGCGCCCCGGCCCCCCAGACGCCGTCCCTGCCGCCCGCAGGCCGCACCCGCTGCTCACGGCGGAAGTCTTCCGCCTCCGAGTGCTCGCCCCCCCCCCGCCCGCGGCCGCCCTGTCCTTCTTCCTCCCTCCTCCTGCATGCCAGCCAAATCGCTTGGTAGTGCCCATGCATCGCGGCCACGCTGGAGCGGATTGCCCCGCCTCGCCGCCGACGAAAGCAAAAGTAGAGTTTTTCCTCGCTTCCGGGTTTCCGCGGCCCGAAAACGGGACCCGGGATTGGCAGAGATCGGCTCGGGACGGAGCGCGGCTTCCGAGGGGAAGCCCCCGGGGGGAGGACTTGAGAGCCCGGCAGCCACAGATCGGCACGATCGAGATGGGCACGAAAACATATAGTTCATGTTCATTTCCAAAGGACTCGCTGTCGTCTGGGCCTCCCAGATGGGATCAGAGTAAATGGGGTTTGGGGACCGCGCCGCAACGCCGATGGATCGGCGATGCGGGTCGATGCGGAATCCGGTTTTCTCCACGCGGACGGCGCCGATGCACCGCCGACGTCACCAATGCATCGGCGATGCGGCGCGGTCCCCCGACCCCATCTACTCGAACCCCAGCTAGGAGGCCTCTATGTCGGTGACCCCGCGAGTGTTGTCCATTTGAGATGAAACGCCGACTGCCCAACAGCAAGCGCTGTCGGCTTTGCCCAACAGCGAACGCAGTAGGTTCCGTGCCCGTTTTTTCCGTACCAGTTTCGGGCGTGCAGAACTCAGGAGGGAAAAAAGCACACAGACACAATGAATCGTCGCAGTTGAGGGAACATGTGGGAAGTTGAGGGAACACGAACACCAAGGAAATAACAACAAAAGACGAGGAATATTGGGGTTTGCATGTATTTGTTTGTGTGTCCCTGGGCCCTTTCTAAACATAAGCGCACAGCCCCCAGAGGTCCGCGTGGGCTTCCTGGGTCGTCCGCCCCCCAGCGCGCGTGCCGCGCGCCGAGGCAGGTGTGCTGGGATCGAGGGGGCTCTCCAGCGCCGTGTAAAGGGTTGGGGGTTCGTAGAGGGAGGATTATCCCCAAATGAGGCTGGCGAAACCGCCCAGCCGGAGGCTCCCGTTTAACGCGCTTCCTTTCTCCAGGGGTCGTCCAGAGCGATTTTTCCTCCAACCCCACCTTTGCCCCTACCCAGCCTTTCTGCCTCTCCGAAAGGTTCATGTAAGAGGCCCGATGCACTTTCGGTAATTATCTCCGCCTGCCCAGATTATGTTACCGTTCGCCGCCGTGGCCACCTGAAGATTTTAGGTTTTAGGGTCCCGGGTTGAGTGTTCACGCACTTGTATGGCGCAGTTTGCAAATGCAAAGTTGTCGTGGTTTTCGAGGGCGCCGCGCTCTGGGGCATCTTCGGTGCCGCCCCGGCGTGTCTCGTTGCTCGCGGGGGCCCAGGAGCAATTGCAGTTTGCGACACATTACTGTAAAGAGGACCCTCGGGAATTTCCTCTTCCTCCTTCCTCTCCCTCCCCCTCCCTCCTCCTCCCCTGCCTGCCTCCTCATCTCGCTGCATTTCCCGCTGCTGGCCTGCCGCTGCGGCCACGCTAGGCCGCCTCGTACCTTGCGCCGCTGCCGTCGAGAGTGTCTGTGATATTCCCCTCTGGGTTCAGGACCCCCTCCGCTTTTCCACGAAGGAAGGGAAAATGGAAGATCAAGACGGGGGGAGGAAGAGGATGCGGGAGGGGTGGGGTCATGAATTGGCAGGACGAGGATGCGACGGAGACTCGCCGGACCAGTCCAGCCCAGATTCAGCCCAGTTTTAGCCCACGTTTAGTTCAGATTGAGCTCATTGTTAGCTCACTTTCAGTGCAGACTCAGCCTTGTCGTCGACAGTCTGGTCGGAGATGTCGCGGGGCGAGTGCGAGGCACGAGGACGAGGAAGAGGAACATTAGGAGCAGGAGAGGGAATGGGAGGAGGGGGTGGAGGAGGAGGATCGCTTTCCCGTCGGTTACCGTTCGAAGCCTTGTTTGGTTTGCGCGCGGTCGCACCGAGACGCCAGGGAAAGACGTGCGCCGCGAACGCGGCCGAAACTCGAGCTTTGTAGTCGCGCTGAGGGGGATCGGAGGCTAGCGGAGAGGAAGGGGAGGGGAGGATAGAATAAGGATTACATAGCCATCGCCGGCGGTAAATCGAGGCTCAAACGTTGCCCCGCGAAGGCGCAGTAACAGTGGATGTGGGGCGGGGACGCAAGACAGGGGGATGTGGAGGACGCGCAGAGAGGACTGGATACGAAGGGGAGGCGGAAACACTGCGCAAGTTGTGGCAACCCAAACGGTCGTTGCCAGGGGTGCACGTTTCCCCCAAGAGAGGCTGATCACCCAGACTCAGGCAGGGAGTGCGGCGCATTTATAGGTTGGAGCGTGGCAGTGCGACGAACATATGGCCACTTCGATGTCACGCCTCGGGTGGCTGGCGTCACTTTTCTTCGCCTGAGGGGGTGACAGGTTTGTTAGGGCCAGGTGCAGCAGTACCTCCGGCGGGAACACTAAAAATCATCGTCTAGAGTTGTCTGGCCTCTTCCCAGAAGTTTTACACAGCGCCGACCCAACACCTCCGCGCGGACCTCCGAAAGCTCGTGACTGCGTCTTACCTTCCAGACATTTGACGATACGATGTGTTCAATGCACGGCCTCAGAGTTCCCGACCATTTCCCTGGGGCCAGCTCTTCGTCCTGGATCCGTCTCGATGGTCCCGGGTCCGACGACTCAGCATGGTCTAGCTGATCTCCATTCCCACTGGGTCATGGTGTCCCTATAGCCTCGCCAGCCCCCCCCCCGGTCGTTGGGGAGAGGCCCCGCGAAGCCTGAAGGCAACAGCATTGTACTTCCATCTTGGGGTAAATCCATCAGTGGGGCCGAGACCATGCTGGTGCGGATGGGGATAGCCTACACGACGCTCAGTGACGGGTCTCAGAGGCCCAATGCAAAACAACAATTCTTGGCAGAGCCCCGAGTCATCGGCGCCGAGTGTGGTGAGGGGTAATTCCTGCTTCGTGCGTCGGGGGCCCAAACCGGAGTTGCCCCGGGGCCAGGGTTCTCCTAGACATTTCGGGCGTCCAGCGTGGAACAAGAATGAACCAATGCGTCGGGGATTTGGGCTTCGCCCCCTGCTAGGAGCTGGCGCGTTCGCTCGAGGCGATCAGGGCCGGCGACGACCGCCAGGGGGCCGCCGCGGCGCTCCGGGCCTTCGGGGAGGCCTCCGCCCTGGCGGCTTTGCTGGGCCGGGACGGCGGTCCGAGGGCACCTCAACGCCATCACGCCCGCACCAATTTGGCCAGGCCGGTCCGGGGCCCAAGGCTGGTGTATCTCGCTGCTTGGCGCGCCCACGATGGGCACGGAGAGAATGGGCACGATTCAGAGGGGGAGAGGTACCCATACCTCTACCCTTCGCCCGTGTTCCCCTTTTTCGGCCTCTTGGGCCTCCCTCGTCGCAACCGCTGGACTCGCCTCCAAGTCCTGGTCAGAACGCGCCCCGGGAGAGGTCCGGGGAGCAGCGGTATCGGCATACCTCTTGGTCTCCCCGACGACGTTCGGCAGCAGATGCCGTCCATCGCCGACAGCGGCCGCTGCTGGGCGGGCCCAAGGTTGGTGTATCTCGTCAAGCGTGGTGTCCGCCGGGCCTCCTCGTCTCCTCTGCTTCTGCGGCCGCCCTCTTCAACGACACCGATCACAACGATCACAGCGATCACAGCGATCACAACGCCCTCTTCTTTCCCATCTGTCTTGGTGTGCCCAGTGCCGGGCGCGGCTCGCCGGCATTGCAGACGCGCTTGCGGCCGCCTGCGCTGGCGACAGACGAAGTGCGTGGTGTCCGACCCCGGGCCGAAACTCCGGGTCGGTTTGGGAGGTCGCCGCGGCGATCGCGGCGGCCACAAGTCAGGGCAAGGTTTTTGTCAGGGAGTGGCATGCCACTTCCCAACATCCCCCCTTTGCGATGCAGACGTGACTCATGCTCAACAACTCTGGTTATGATGTTCCAACCTGCTTTAGCCTTGATCGCAATAAATAATTCCGAGCACAAGAAACTACCCAAACTCATGGGTTTTCACGTGTCGGGCCCTGGGAGACACTCGCCCAACACTGTTTCGACACTCTTTCGACACTTTCCCAGGTGCTCGAAACTGTTTCTGGGATGTGGTCCTTGAGTACGATGGGAGCAACAAAATAATAGTTACAGCGATAGAGACTTGTCAATTGAGCAGACACGCGACCAGACCACGTCGAGGGAGAAACTACGTAATCGTGAATCGGGTCGGCACCTCGACCCCTCTGGCGGTGCCTCCGGCGCTGCGCCTGGCGCGCTCCGCGCGCCAGCCAGGGATCGGGGGCCCCCAAACGGGGTGGTGACCACACCGTGTGGTGAGCTGGTGGGGATTCGATGTCACCGCACGGTTTTGGGACTCGGGTCGTTCTCCGACTCGGGCGACTGAAGCGTCCAGAGTCCCGAAATGCTGTACTTGTATGTGCAAACAGGCACGCAGCCTGTGGGCACGCAACCACCGCCACCTAGCCTTCTCCTCTCCTTGGGTGCTGCCGCCGTCTCCGCGCTGCTGCTGCTGCCGCTGTGATGGGCTCGGACTCGGCTTTCCCTCCTCCGCCTCCTCCTCCTCCTCCTTCTCCTCCTCCTCCTCCTCCTCCTCCTCCTCCTCCTCCTCGTCATCGTCTGCCGCCGCTCCCTGCTGCGGTGAGAGCTGCTCCTCGTCCTCCTCCTCCGCCTCCTGCTGCTGCGGCGACTGCTCCTCGACCTCCTCTTCCGCCTCTTCCTTCTCCTCCCTGGACCCGGCCCGCTTCGGGGGCGGCTCCTCTACCTCCTCCCCCTCTTCCCGCTCCTCGGGCTCGTCCTCCTGTTCCGGCCGCGGGGGGCGCCGGTGCTGCTGCGCTGGGTGCTATGGGAACTGCTCCTCGACCTCCTCTTCCTCCTCCTCCCTGGGCTCGACCCGCTTCGGGTGCGGCTCCTCGGCCTCTTCCTCCTCTTCCCGCTCCTTGGCTCGTCCTCTTGGTCTGGCTGTTGGGGGAGCCGGTGCTGCTGCGCTGGATGATGATGCCGCTGATGTGGCTGCTGCTGCTGCTGCTGCTGGTGATGGTGCTGATGCTGGTGCTGGCTCGTCCGCCAGCGCTCTGCACACCGTGACACGCGGTAAGTTGTTGACTCGATCCTTCCAGCGCCAAACACGTTGGCATCTCAGGCAAGTGATGATGCCCTCGTCGTCACCGCCGATGTCCGTGCCGGTCTTCCTGTTCCACTGGAGTTCGTGCCGGTCGCGGTTGTATTGAGCTCCGCCTCGAGCCTGTCCAGCCGTGACGCGGACTGATTGTATCCCTCCTGCGTCAGCCACCGGTCGGGCGGCAGCGCTGCCTGTTCACAAGGTTTGCCCGTGATCTTGAGGCGCACGTGCTGCAACCTCTCGACAAGTTTGCCACACTTCCGGCCCCACACGCTGGCCCTGCCGCCGGGCCGCGGGGCCAGCACGTGGCCGTTCTCGTGGGCGGGCGCGGTACTCGCTCCGCTCTCCACGCTCCGCAGCCTCTCTTCCCGGTGGTATCGGGCAATGTGCCGCGACCAGATGGTGACCAGCATGGCCTGAGCCTCCAGGGTCCACGGACCCTGCGGTGAGGTCTTGGGGAATTTCGAGGTCACCGCACGGTCTGTCACCGCACCGTTTCGGGACTCCAACAGGGAGGGGGGCCCAACCAACGCCGATCCAAGAAATCCACGCAGAGCTCCGATGTTTCTGCCGGGTTTTTTCTTTTAGTATGCTCAGCCACGCGCAGAGGGGGGAGGGGGGAGGGGGAGGGCTTCTCAGAAGCACTCCTGCTTCTTAGAAGGCGCGGGCGGCGCCTTCTAAGAAGCAGCCTCCTAAGAAGCCCTCCCCCTCCCTCCACCCCCTTGTGCGCACCGCCAATATGCGTTCCCGCCCGAGCCCACAGGGTATGTACACCGATCCTGGGCCCAGGAGATGAGCCCAGCCAGGGTCGGCGCAGGTGTATACTCAGACATCCTCCGATCTGATTTTTCGATCCGCGGCCCCTGAGCTCCTGACCCCCTTCCCGGGGTTTGTTTTGCACCCCAGTTTTTGATGGCCTCGGGGCCCGATCACAGGCCCTGCGATCCGAAGTGACAAACAACAGCAACACTGCGAAAAATTAGCCTGGTGAAGGAATGCAGTTGTGATTATCGCAGTTGTATGTATCGTCTTCGGTGGAGCCCCCTTACAGGGCCACGAAACGCTGTAACAGGCGGGGGAGACAGATGCGGGCTGCGACACTGGGACCTTCGGTGAAGCTCCCTGTGGGGCCAGAAAACGCTGTACTGGGTGCGGGAGACGCATGCGGACTGCGCCACTGGGACCTTCGGTGGAGCTCCCTGTGGGGCCGGGCTGCGCCACTGGGACCTTCGGTGGAGCTCCCTGCGGTGCCACGAAACGCTGTACTGGGTGGGAGAGACGCATGCGGGCTGCGCCACTGGGACCTTCGGTGGAGCTCCCTATGGGGCCACGAAACGTTGTACTGGGCGCTCGGGGGGGGGACGGAGGGGGAGGCGGAGGAGCGGGAGTAGGAGGAGTGAGAATGCGGGGCGCTGTCTCTTCAAAACGAGGATCCAACACCACAGGATTTGTGGGACTCATGATCGGAGCCCGAGGTCGATCTTTCTGCAGCATTCTTCGAGCCGGATCACTCTGCGAGGGTCCGCGGGCCCAAGACCTGGAAACAGACGATTCATTGCGCGAAGAACTTGCAACGCCAGGAAATCTCAGCGTATGTATAAGAAACGCTGGGATTGAGCATGTCATATTCTCGGAGATCCTGGCGGTCGGCGTCCTCGCAGGCGACCACGAGGCGCGCCGCGCGCTCTTCGGCGCGGTGGAGGCGGCCCTTCAGGAGACTTTTTTGTTTCCCTGGCGATACCGGGCGTGACTGGGGGGAGGGGGGAGGGTCCTTCGCTTGCTAATGGTCGGCGGCGAGCCCTGGGGGGGAAGTGAGAAGGAAAAAGCCTTCTCAGAAGGCTCGGAAGTCCGCCAGCCTTTTGAGAAGTTTTATTAGCCTGTCCCGCAGACGAGGAAACCTTCTCAGAAGGTGCGAGAGTTTCTGAGAAGTCCTGCCGCCTTCTGAGAAGGCCTTCTCCTTTTCACTTTCCCCCTCGCTCGCCGCCGAACTGGGTCAGCCTCTTTGGGGTCAGCTTCGGATCCGCTTGTGTTTCAACGAATAGCTATTCCTCAGCTTCTCTCAGGTACTTCTTCACACTTCGCGTACGCCCACCAGCCCATTCAGAAACGCTGCCCCTGAGCGTTGACGGGACATCGAAGGAATGGACACACACATACCCACCCACCCACCCACACACACACACACACACCCACACACCCACACGCCCACGCACCCACGAACCCACCCACGCACCCACGCACGCACGCACGCACGCACGCACGCACGCACACGCACGCACACGCACGCACGCACGCACGCACGCACGCACGCACGCACACACACACACACTCACACAGACATCCACACACACACACACACACGCACACACGCGCACGCACACGCGCACACGCGCACACGCACACACGCACACGCGCACGCGCACACGCGCACACGCGCACACGCACACACGCACGCACGCACGCACGCACGCACTCACGCACGCTCGCACGCACGAACACACACACACCCACACACCTACACACACAGACAGACACACACAAACGCACACACACACACGCGCGCGCACACGCAAGCGCCCACGCACGCGCACGCAGGCGCAAGCGCACGCACGCGCACACGGGCACGCGCACACGCGCACATGCGTACACGTGCACACGCGCACACGCGCACACGCGCACACGCGCACACGCGCGCACACGCGCACACGCGCACACGCGCACACGCGCACTTACGCACACACGCACACGCGCACACGCGCACATACGCGCGCGCACACGCGCACACGCCCACACGCGCACACGCGCACACGCGCACACGCGCACGCGCGCACACGAGCACACACGCACACACGCGCCACACAAAGCACACGCAGCACACGCACACACGCACCACGCACCACGCACCACACGCACCCCACACGCACCCCACACGCACCCCACAAGCACCCCGCACGCACACCACACGCACCCCACGCGCACCCCACGCGCACCCCACACGCACCCCACACCCACCCCACACGCACCCCACACGCACCACAAGCACGCACACGCGCACACGCACACGCGCACACGCTCACACGCCAACGCGCGCACACGCACACGCGCACACGCGCACACATGCACACACGCATACACGCACGCGCGCACACACGCGCATGCATTCGCACACACGCGCACACGCGCACACACGCATACACGCACACGCGCACACGCGCGCACACACACACGCACCACACGCACACACGCACACACGCGCACATGCACCACACGCGCATACGCGCACACACATTTACACGCGCACACACCCACACACCCACACACCCACACACCTAGACCCCCACACCCCCACACCCCCACACCCCCACATATCCACGCACCCACACATCCACACACCCACACATCTACACACCCACACACACCCACGCCCCCCCCCCCCCTCACCCCCACGCACCCACACACCCACACACCCACACCCCTACACCCCCACACCCCCACACCTCCACAAACGCACACGCACGCTTTCACGCACACATAGTTTGTCAAACCATGCAACCATGGTGATTGGAGGATACGAAGGAATAGGGAAAGGAGGACGAGGAGGAGGAGGAGGAGGAGGAGGAGGAGGAGGAGGAGGAGGATATGAACGATGACGGGAACAGGAGGTGGAGGAGGAGCAGGAGGTGGAACAGGAAACGGAAGGAGAGGACGAGGAGGACAAGGACGAGATGGATGAGATGGACGACGACGGCAAGGACGAGGGCGAACACGACTACGAGGATGTGGAGCGGGACGAGGAAGAGGACGAGGACGAAAAGGATGACGAGGAAGAGGAGGAGGAGGAGGAGGAGGAGGAGGAGGAGGGGGAGGAAGAGGAGGAGAAGGAGGAGGAGAAGGATGAGAGGAGGAGGATGAGGCCGAGCAAGACGAGGACGAGACGGATGAGGACGAGTACTCTGGCAGCCATTTGGGGGTCTCCTTGAGTCCCTCTTGGGTCCTCTTGTGGCTCTCTCGGGGCCCTGTTGGAGCCCTCTTGGGGCTTTTTTAGGGAGATCATGGGGTTCTCTTGGGGGCTCTTTTGGGGGGTCTGGTGGCCCTGTTGGGACCTTCTTGGGGGCCCTGGAGGGCCTCCTTGGGCCATCTTGGAGGCAGTCGATCTAGGGGGGGGGGTCGGGGTGTCGGGGTGTAGGTCCTCCCTGTGGGGCCTTCAGTGCCATCTCTTGGGGCGCTCCTGGAGCGCTCTTGGGCGGTGTTGGGGACGTCTGGGGGGCATCTTGGGCCCTTTTGGAGCTCTCCTGGGCTATCTTGAGGCTTGAACAGCGCATCGGAAGCACAAAAGCAAGCGGCACACATCATTGATGACTCTTCGGTGTTGAAGGATGTTGTGCTACTGAGGGGGGGTCCTGAGAGGTCTCCCGGGCCACTTTGAAACGTCATGTGACCCTTTGGGGGCCTCTGGGAGGCATGTCGGTAGCTGTCTTGAATCATCTCCAGTTGTCTTGAGGCATCTTGGAGGCCATCTTGGAGCATCGCAGGCCTCTTTGGAGCCATTTTGGGCCATCTTGGGCGCCCTTGCCCCTCGCGCCCCCCAAACAAAAACTTAGGGAGGTAAGGGGGAGCGGGAGGGTACCCCCTCCCCGAAGGGAAAAAGGGGTTCGCACGAAGAACAAACAACATCATTAGACCACCTGCGCCAACAAGTCTGGTGGAATTCCGTTTGACATTCATCGTTCGGGCCACTCGCTTTCTCAGGATAATGTTTCCTCTTCGGATTCAAGTGTAGGCGCCTGGGGGATTCATGGCATGCTCGTCGAGTGTCCTTGGCTCAAGGTGTGCGCACCCTGTACGTCGACGCCTAGACTGGAGCGTCTTACTTGAGAGGGAAAGGGGGTGTCATCCTTCTACTCACCCGTCACGTCCCATCCAGTACAGTTGTTGTTGATGTTGTCTGCGATGTACTATGCGACATCCACGTTACCATGCTGTTTTCGACTTGATAGCGGAGATGGCCACATTCTCGTGCGGTCGGCTCCTTGTGCGGACTATTCTTGCTTCTCTCTGGCACGATCCCTGAGGCCGCTGTCGCTCCCGACTACGGCCCCGCACTCCATCCGCGAATCCGTGGAACGTTTCGCGCCCAGCGATATGAGTTCGGAAACAAGCTAGAGCAGACCCGAGTGGTCCAACATACGTTCACTGGTGTGTTTTTCAAAACGAACGGTTTGACATATTTCATACCTATCAAGCCGTTTCTGTCCCCCTTGGCAGAAGTCGGCAATTCCCCAGTACATAAGCATGGGCACATGCCGCGCGCAAGCGTGTTTAGCCTCCAACCACGGCGCCTGACCATACCCACAAATACAGAGACCGAGCGCGGAAATGCGCCAGATCATCACAATTCGCGACCGAAGTATCTTGAGCTGGTGATTCACGCCATCGCATGGATGTGGTGGATCCGCCGCCGGATACATGCAACGTGGTGGAGGTAACGATAAATGCACCCCTTGGGGCCCAGCCGGGAACGACCGTTTCGGCGACCCCCACGTGGCCGCCAGCCTCACGCAGCGGAGGCCCCACTGCCCGAATATTTTAATTCCAGCACCACTCACGTCGGGGGACCCCTTCGAATAATCCCACCGGGCCTCTCAGGGGTGGTACGGCGGGCCCGCGCCTGTTGTGGTCGGCCAACCACAGGGCGAGAATCTCTCCCATAGCCCCGACGGACTGCGGTGACGATCGGGCTGCCAACCCGTTTGTTTTCCTGGGGCGCCACGCAGGCGCCCAGCGGCACAGGTGCCAAGTGCGTGCTGACTGGTGGTTTTCCCGAGGGTTTGGGGGTCGGCAAAATCGCCATGAGTGCTCCTCCAGACATCACCAATTTCGGAGCGGGCATCAGCGGTACTCAGACGGAAACCGTTGCCTACGCTATGCTCGTCCTGAGCATGAGGTTTGATCCTCCTGAGGGCGTTCCTAACAACGAGCGCGTCGACGAAACCTGGGTGAGGCGTGAAATGGCGCGCTTCGAGAGGCACAATCGGCAAGTTTTGATTGGCTGAACCTTCAAGTCCTTTCCACCTGAGGCCCGAGCTATTGCGCCCGCGTGTCGCAGCTCTTTCATTATGGCACGCGTCGTGGCCCCATAATGGGCCCCACCGAAGGCCCCACATGCTGCGTTCGCACGCCGCCAACCCCCTCGCTTTGGCACGCACCTCGCACGTTTCGTGGCCCCATATTGGGATCCACCGAATGCCCCAGTGGCTGCGTTCGCATGCCGCCACCTCCTTATTCTGGCACACCCCTCACACGCGTCGTGGCCCCATTGTGGGCCCCACCGAAGGCCCTGGTGGCTGCGTTCGCATGCCGCCACCCTCTTCTTTTGACGCGTCCCTCATGCGTTTTGTGACCCCACAGAAATCTCAACCTGAGGCCGCGGTCGCTGCGTTCGCATGCAGCCACCGCTTTCATTTTGGCACGCCTCTCACACGCTTCGTGGCGCCATAAGGAGCTCCACCTACGGCCCTTGCGGCTGCGTTCGCATGCCGCCCCGCATCGGCGCCCCCCTTTTCACGCGCCTCGCTGCCCCGTGAGGAACCCCGCCGGAAACGGCTTTCACATCGGCTGTATTCACGAGTGCGTATAGTCGGGTCCTTCGCCAAGAGAATGTTTCCATTGCGGGGTTGAATTCCGACGAGAAGCCGCTGCCCAGCCAGGCGGCCC